GTGTAAACACTGTGGTATTGTGTTAACGCATGAGAACCAAAAAGTGGAACTGACTGATCTGTTCTTACTTGATAAGCTGAATGAAGCAGAAAGTAAATGGCACCAATGAATGAAACAGTAAATTAAAATGCATATTACAGGGATGGTAAATAAACAAGCCAACATTAGGATACAGGAGTTTTCTATATAACTAGTGTTAAGACTGGTTAAACATAGTATTTGTATATATATTACCTTTGTGGTATAAATTAAATTTCATTACATTTACATTATGGCCACTATAGAATTTTTCAATTATCTTATAGTTATATGACTAATAATTTAACTTGATAGGTATAGAAATATTTTTATAAAATATATTCTTAATTATTTTATTTCTAAGTAATTTACTAATTTAGATTTTATATGTAAATTGAAATTTAACTTTTAAAATTAAAAATTTTTTAATTGAAGTGTAGTCAGTTACAGTGTGTCAGTTTCTGATGTGCAGCACAGTGTCCCAATCATACATATATATGTACATACATTTGTTTTCATGTCCTTTTTCACTAAAGGTTATTAAAAGATATTGAATACTTTAGTGTCTCTTTTTCATTAGCCAGAATATTGTAGGACCATACTGTAAGTGTATTTGTTACTCCCAAAGAGTTTTTGTTAATGTGGGCTGTATCTCTTACTGTTCCCTGTGTTAGAAATTAATACTAAGAGCAGTGAAAGCCATATAAAAAACACATACAATAATTTTGAAATATATTTATTTCCACATAGTTAGTTTTCTGGACTCCAAGAAGACCAGAATTTATTACCTTGGTTTATTTAAGCATTTAAACCATTAGTGTTTTGTAGTTCTTGCTTAATATTCAGCACTAATTTTGAATATTGGTGGTGGTTGTTGACACACAAGAATCAAGCTCTTTTGTCTTGAGATCTCAAAGGTATTTTTACTTGGCATTCCCTGAGTGTACTGTCTGTAGCTTTTACTGCGAAACTTCAGAGTAGGGAATAGAAATGACTGGCTTTCCTTCCTCTTTTTTAAGACTAACATAGGTTAAGCTTCAGAAAGAGGACAGCACAAGTCTTCATGACACTAGGGAGGCATTCAGCCCTGATTTTGATAAGTGGGCAGAAGTATTACCATAAACTAGCTTTAGTTAGTTATATATATTATATATAAAATACATACAATAAAGAATAGACTTTGCACCGCAAAACTGGGGATGGATACAATTATGTTATTTCTTATAGCTATTCAGATTGTATTATTGTCCCAGAAGTTTCTCTTATTTCAAAGCTACTAGGTTCCATTTCAGCCGTAACCTATGTTATTAACCTGTTTCTGCATCTGTATAAACTAATGAAAACAGCTGCAAACATTTACAGAGGGATTATTATGTTCCAGCTACTCTTCTAAGTGCCTTTTGTTTTTTAACTCATTTAGTCCAACAACCCCATGACGTAGCTACCAGTGTCTTCTTTTTTATCGGTGAGGAAACTGAGGCACAGAGAGGTTAAGTAACTTGCCCAAGGTTTATCAGCCATGGAGGTGGAATTCAGATTCAAGCAGTTTGGTTCCAGAGACTGTGCTTTTAAGCAGCCCCTAAGCTACATGCCTCAGCTAAGTAAACCTACCAGACTAACCTGCACGGCTACAAAACAGACAGAGTAGGTAATAATCACTTAATGAAGATGATTCTTGAAATTACATGCTTACATTTCCCCTAGGAATTTTAAAAAGTTATAAATGAATTTTTAATTATAAAAGTAATATGTGTTTATGAGAAAAATTCCAACAGTACGTAAGTTTTTTAAAATCTTTTGCTCATTTCTATTTCATTTTTTAAATAGACTATTTTTAGAACAGTTTTAGATTTGCAGAAAAACTGAGAAGATGGTACAGAGTACCCAGACACCCGTATGCCTAGTTCCCATTATTAACATCTTACGTTAGTCTGTTCCATCTGTTAAGAGTTAATGAACCGATATTTGGTAATAATGATACCTTATTATTAATTGAAGCCCATAGTTTATGCAGATTTCCATAAATTGTTCCTGATGCCCTTTTTTCCTTCGAGGATCTTACCATACTACATTTAATCATCATGTCTCCTTAGGCTCTCCTTAGTCATGGCAGCTTCTCCAACTTTCCTCATTTTTGATGACCCTTTTAAGGAGAGCAAGTTGGGTATTTTGTAGGATGTGCCTTGATTAGAATTTGATGTTTTTCTCATGATTAGACTGGGGTTGTGGGACATGGAGAGGGAGATAACAGATATAAAGTGCCGTTTTCATTATGTCATGTCAAGAATACTTACTGTGAACATGAGTTATTACTGCTGATGGTGACCTTGATCACTTGCCTTGAGCGGTTGTCAAGTCTGTCTAGTGTAAATTTAGTCCTCTTGTCCCCCTTTCCATATTGTACTCTTTGGAAGAAAGGCACTATGCACATGCTTCATTCGCCTTGAGGACAAAATAATCGGTATAAATCGTTTGGAATTCTTTTATACAAGAGAGTTGTGCTTTCCTTTCATTTATTAATTTATTCAGTCATTTATTTGTATCAGCATGGATTCATGAATGTTTGCTTTATACTTTGGGTTATAATCCAGTACTACTTTACTTGCTGCTCACATTTTTCCTGCTTTGGCTTTGGGAGCTCTTGCAGTTGGTTCCTGTGCACTGTTGGCATACCCTCTTCAGTATGAAGGCTTGTTTTTTCAGCTCTTACTTTCTGGCATTACAGGATGCTCATAACTCACCTCGTGTATTTTTTGACCCAGTCCTAGAACCAGCCATTTCTCTGAGGAGCCCTGGTTCCTCTTACTGGAGAATGGTATAGAAGCCAAGATCAGGGTGCTAATATGCTTGTTGCTACTGGGGCATCATTTCTTTTAGGCCCCCTCAGCTGACAGAGCAAAGAAATACATGTGTGTGTGCTAACCTGTGTGTACACACACGTCTATGAATATTTCTGTATGTAGTCCCCCTGTGTGTTAAGCTAAACATGAATTCTTACTGAAGTTTCCAAATCTAATCTGTCACTCCACGGATCATTATGGCCTCCTCTCCCTGCTTGTTTGTAAATTTCCATTCCAGCAGTGTGAGTCCTGGCTCGCAGTTGTTCACTTCCAGCATACACGTAGGGCAGTTACCAGCATTGTTAACCTAACCCCTCACTGGAAACACTTCATCAACTAGAGTACAGGGCGTGTGTGCATTTCCTTTGCCGTTGTCTTGTGGACACCACTCATCTCCAAAGCTGCTTAAGTCAGCACCAAATCTCCTGTGTTTCTTTTTCTGTTATTAAAATCTGTTGGATGAATGAGTTGGGTTTTTTCCTGAAGGCACGCTGTCCTCTTTGCTTTCATCTCTATCTGAAGTATCCTTCTTTGCCTCTTCCTGGAATACTCTTTGCCTTAATATACCCAGCTTCCTACTCTGCCTGCTCCTCTAATACTACACATTTCTCTCTTTTGGTAATGCCAGTAATAAGTGGAATATTTGATAGATGATGGTAGAATTTTTTGTTTTTATTTTTTATCCTGTAGACAGTTTTTCTTTCCAGTGATTATCTGTTAACATTTCTGAAAAAAGTTAATCACATAATTATAAAATGACACTTTAAAAATGTTTTTTCCTCATTTTTTAAGCTATTTCAAGAGGGAGAGAGGATAACATTAAGAGCCAAGCTTCTAGAATTACTCAGATTTTAAGTTCAAATTTTGATTTGGTGAATATAGGTGTGTCTCAGTTTTCTCATCTGTACAATGGAGATTTTTTAAATTATCTGCCTAATAGGATTGATGTGAAAGTTAAATGAGATAATATGCTTTATGTGCTTTTAACAGTGTCTAGCACATAGGAAGCACTTAACAAATGTGCTGTTGGTAAACACGAGTGCTATGTAAGGTTATAGAAAAGAACATTACATAAGAGTATTATATTTAAGGTACTTGTCTTTTCATGCTTTTGAGGATTACTTCAGGGTTTTAAAGGTTTGGGTGACTGTCCGGTTTGCCTGGGATGGTGATCTAGGAGCGTGCCTGTTGTGCTGGCATGATTATGGGTAGGACATGCCTTTATTCTTGCTAGATATTTTACTTTGGAAGAAAAAGTATAAGGTCACCTTATTTCCAGGCATTGCAAAATGTCTGTGTCCCTCTGGTGAGGGCTGGTGTAAATGGTGGAGTAGGCTAGGGGTAGGCAGATGGGGACTACTGGGAAAGCGTACACACTGAAGTGAGCGGTGCTGCTCTGTTTCAGCTATTTGTGGCCAAGGAGGCCTGGTATAACCAGATTTTGATTTTTCAAGAGTAGGCAGAAATCTGGAGCTTTTGCAGTGGTCCCCAGTTTATTATCATTGGCATTTAATTTAATTTTTCTAAAAAGTACAAAATTTCATTGAACCGTATAAAGATCTATGCATTTTATTGCATGTAAATTATGTCACAGTTTTTAAAAATAGGCAGATCAGATGGTGGTCCATATATATATATATATATATGCTTGTGAGTCGCTAATTTCCAATATCTGATACTATCTTAATGCAAAGACTCAGTTCTAACACAGAAACTTAACATGTTAACTGCTGTTTAATACCAGTTGATATAGCAGACATTGTAGGGCTTTAACTCTGTTACCATATATATTTAAAAGTATGTGATAGTAAAAACTGTAAGATAGGAAAAACTTACATTATAAAGTTGCCTCCAGGGAAATCTGGAGAGCACATTTAGACTGGGAAAGCTGAAAAAGGTCGTGCTAAATTGACCATGACTGTGAGTGCCTTTGAAATCCTTAATGAATTAAAATGATTATGGATATTTTGAAGACTAAATAAATTACATATAATTGCCGTGGTGAAAATGTATGTGAATACATAGTAGGCAGAAATTATGGAGCCACTAGTTCTGCTTGAAATGCGCTTCAAAATGCTCTTCCCTAGTTTAGGTTCCTGACACTTGTTTGGGAAACAAATTTAAAAATTTTTTTTCCTTCAGACTGTTTTAAAGAAGTCATTCATATACGTCTGGACGAACTTCTTCGTGTTTTAAAGTCTGTAATGAGTAAACATCAGAACCTCAATTCTGTTGATCTTCAAAATGCTGCAGAAATGCTTACTGCAAAACTAAAAGGTAAGAAGAATAATACTAATAGTGGGTTGACGCAGGCAAAAGGGATCCAAGTGATATTTTGTGGTTTGTAATGACTGTAGCGCCATCTCTCTTGGCATCTGTATGATGTGTACCAGTGGGAGTTGTGTATACTTTGATATTTAAATATCCCACTAAGTCACACCTAAAACCCTTGTTTAAAAAATCAAAACTTTATTTGGCAGGAAATGTTCTAAAAATACTAACTGAAATAAACTAAACAACTGACGTTTGAGATTTTTTGAGTTTTTTAAAGAATGTATGCTCTTTTGAAGTAGGTTTTTAATGTACAAAAAAGTCTTTGTTTTCTGAGGACAATTGATGCTGAAAAATGGCCATTTATAGTGACTCCACTTAAAGGAGGGAACCAAATGGAGAAAAAGAAGACTAAATTGGAAATTTATTTTAAAATGTGGAAAAATGAAGATAAAATTGTAAAATAAGTCTATCGTGTATGTGTATGTTTTGTGTATATATGTGTACATGTACGTGTGTGTATACAGTACATGTGCTAAAAGAAATAAGAATTAGGACATTATCCCTTGATGAAATGATTTGCCACCAAAAGTTGTTTGAATCCGTTATTCTAGGCTGCAATATATAAAGATTGAGGATGGAGGCAGGGAGTTCAGTTAGGAGATTGTAAGAAATAATAGATGAGGGCTGACAGTCTGATTTAAGACAGAAGCTGGGTTGTGGCAGAGGTGGAACCAGAAGAGGGCATGGATGTTGATTTGGGGAAACATAGGACAAGTTGAATGTTAGGGGTTAAGTTGAAGTTTGGAGTTGAACATGCGGACTTGATATGTAGGTGGTGGTAGGAGAGGATGACACCAACTCAGAGTGCAGAGTAAATAGAAGACTGAGTATGAGATCCAGGGACAGAGAGAAGATAGAGGAACCCGAGAAACATCTAGGAAGTAGGGAGATGATCTGGAGAAAGATGTTACGGAATTTTAGAAGTGTCAGTTTCTAAGAAGTGATTGTCAGTGCTAAGTGTCAGTCTGATAGATAGTATGAATTCAAATAATTTAACTGTAAAAAGTGTCACCATAGGTTGAGTAAGGAAACGAAAGGCTTCTTTGGGGGGAGGGATTACCTATGGAGAGTCTGAGAGGTCAGGTGGGCAGTATCCAGGCTAGAGCGAGACCGGGGCTATTATACAGGCGCTTGTATGAGAAGTCTGAATGTGAGAAACAGGACTTGATGGATGGACACACTCATACGTAGAGAGGGCCAAGGCCAAGTGTCAAGGGGTGAGGCGTGCAGAGAAAGTAAAACCTTGTCATTAAATGTGATCCATATACTTAAGAACTGCCTTCCCTACCTTTTGGCGTAGGTTTATCCTGTTCGCATGGTTCTCTTTTTTCTGTATTTCAAGCACTGAAGCAAATGCAGATGTCTTTAAAGTGGAAGAAATGGATAGCTTCTGTTATGACTTTTAAAATGTTTAGTAACCAGATTTGTTTTCTAATAGATTGTTTATAAGTGCCCTGTATCTTAACTTAGATAGGGAAATTTGTGTCTATAGATAGTAAAATTTCCGTGCTTGGAAATAGTGACCACAGTTCATTCAGTTGTTGTCAGTAGCTATTGTGTGCAGGCAGGATGTCCTGGGGAAGGAGTATGTCTGTGTATAGTGATGTCCGCATTCCAGAAACAGACTTGAAGAAAGTGGCCTCTCAGCTGCCTGAAAGACCCTTTTTTCTTTGAGGTAAAGCAGTCTTTTGAATATTATTTCCCGCTAGGAGTGTCTTTGCCCGTGGGATTATTGTTAGAATTTTACTCTTGTGTTTGATGAAATTTAAAAGATTATTTTGTTGCTGGGGCCCTTACTCTGTTTCAGGACTCCATGACACAGAAGAACTTTAAAAATTGTGTCTTCTTTGGTGTAAGTTTAAGTTTTTTAACTAACTGCCCCCATCTTATTGTTAAGGCTATCTAAAAATATCATTTATACCCCAAATGAAAAATACTCAGTAACCTGAAAAATTGATGTCAAATCAGAGCTCATTTAATTGTTTTATTTAATGGTAATTTAGTTTTCAAGCCCTGGAAAAGGCAAGGGGAAGGTAAAAACCATTTTTGGTTGTCTATTCTATGGCAATTAAATATTTTACATATGCTGTCTGCTTTAATGTTTTCAAAAAAACTTAATAAAGTTACATTTTTAGTCCTGTATTAAAGGGAAAAGCTTAAAAACTATCGTATATTAGTATCAGAAATGCGGAGGTCATTTTGTCTTAACCTCCTAATTACATTTTTCAAACAATGGTAACCTGACTGACTTTGGAGATCTTAGCTGTCAGATGCATTTTGCAAGTATACCAAACCATTTCAAAGAGTAACATATACAGAATAACTTTAGAATCAGAGAGGTATAATCTTGTTTGTGCTTCTGCAGGTTTGAAGGCATGAAATCTCTCCACTTCCTATGCGTAGTAATTATAAGCACAGTGGTGTGAAATTGGAATCTTTGACTCTTATTTTTCAAGTGTGGAAATTACTTTTTAATAACTTTAAAAGAAAAATTCTTAGCTTTTCCCCATTCATTCTAATAGTGATTTTTGTATTTCCTGTGTATCCTCTTGTTTCCAAGCAGGAAGTTCAGTCTGACAAAATATTTGCAGTGTGTTAAGAGAGATACAGCTTATTTGTGAAGTAGATGAAGACATCTTCAGTACTCAGTAATTTATTATGTACTTAATATTTGTGTTTTCATCAGTTACAAGTATTTTGGTAAATCTTATTTGTAATATAATTTAAAAGGACCATTTTTTGGTTTTTCGTCATCTGTGTTTTGCCTTATATTTAAAAATTGACAAACAAGAAAAATAATCTTTAATTATGCATCCCAAACTGTAGAAGCCTCATGTTTTCTTTCTGCTTTGAAACTTACTTTTTTAATAGGCAGTTCATTCACATGGTTCGTAGTACAAATGATACAAAAGAATATTCAACAGTGAAGTGTCTTTCTACCTCAGACTGTAGGCATCCCTTCCTTTCCTTAAATAAGCAACAACTATTACTGATTTTTTCTGTAACTTTCCAGAGACATACTACACATATGGACGCAAACACGATATGTTGTCTTTTTTTAAGAAAGGGTAGCATTCTGCTCCTTGCTCATTGTTCTGAGTTACCTGTATATAAAGGGTCTCCTTATTCTTTTGTTGTTACTTGTTTTGTTTTGTTTTTTTAAAGCTGCATGGTAATCCATTCTATTGATGTACTATAATTTATTTAACCAGTTCACTACTAATGGGTGTTTGGATTGTTTCCAATTTTTTTCTGTTACAAACAGTGCTTCAGTGAATAGTTGTGTGAATTCCTAGATGGGCAGTTACTGGAACAGAGTGCACGTGCATCTGTATTTTTTATATTACTGAATGCCCTCTGTAGGGGTTCTGTCCTTCTGATAGCTGTGCTGAAGAGGCTGATTTCCTGCCCGTTTGCCAACAGAGCTGGTTACCAGACTTTGTTATCCAATCTGATAGTAAAAACTGGTGTCTTGGTGTAGATTTGATTTGCATTTCCCTCATTTTGAGCACAGTTGAGTATCTTTTCATATGTTACAGAGCCATTTGCGCATCCTTTTATGTGACTTGACTGTTTATTCGTTGTTTTCTTGATGGTTGGTGTTTGTTTTAGTTTTGATTTGTAGAAACTCTGTATAAGGTGCTTTACATTTGTTTTCTCAGTCCTTCCTTTCAGTAATATGCCATGTTACACGTGGAGAAATTGAAGTTAGGCGGTGTGTCCAGAGTGACACACGAAGTGGTAGGGATCAGATCTAGACTTAGGTTTGAAACTCTGGGGCCTTACTTCCTCTCATTGCTGTAACATACTACTTCTAAGCAGAGCACTTCAGGATGGAAGGGAGTGGATGATGTTTGCAGCAATAACAGCTGCCATTGCTGAGGGTGTGCTTGCTTATGGCAGCCACTGTTAAGCTCTTTACATGGGCTACCTGTTAGTCTTCACAGCAGATTTTCGAGATCAGTACTATTATTACATCAGCTCCCATTTTGCAGATAAGAAAACTGCGACGCAGAGACTTGTCCAAAGTTGCATACATATTAAGTGGGAGAGTTGTTGAGAGTTGCAGAATGGTCAAGCAGGATGAAAGCTTAGAAGGAAAAAGGCATCTAAGTTTGACTAATGCAGTTGGAGGTTGTTGTTGACAATGTTGTTCAGTGGCATGGAGTGAAAATAACATTTACTGAGCATTTTCTATGTAATAGGCTCTGTTCTGAGGTCATTTGGTCTTCACAGTGGTTCTCAAAATACATATTATTATCCCCATTTTATAAATGAGGAAACTGAGGAGCAGAGCAGTTAAGTTACTTAACCTAGTTAGAGACAGAGGTAGGACTTAACCTAGGTAGGCTGGCTTGGAACCCATCCTTTTAACCACTCTTACTCTATATGTGGCTTCTTTATACAGAGTTAAATAGTTGCAACAGATCATATGGCCTGAAAAGTCTGAAATATTTGCTGTCTAGCAGTTACAGAAAAAGTTTTTCAACCCCTGCTAACCATTAATCTGGCTGAAAAGCCAAATCCTGGTGAATTCAGTCATTATCTATTTGTAGAGATTTGGCAGTAAAGAAATGCTGACTTACATTGCATGGTACCTTTAAGAAAAAATATGGTAAAATTAATTTTTTCTCTCATAGGGAAAATGTGAGTATGCTGTTAGCAGCATAAGGCAAAACGGTCAGCTGGTAGGAGACAGTGAAACCATGAGGGAGGAGTGCTGTTTGTGGAGGGTGTGGAGAACGAATACAGGAGAGAATGGGGAGATTTATGATTGGAAGGGAGCCAGAGACTTTTTTTTGAAACACTGGAAGGAGCAACAAAGGGAAAGGATATTAGAAGTATGGAGCTGTTTTGCAGTGGAGGCAAGGGCGGTAATAGGAATTTTCATTAGATGGTTGTAGCCTCATTCAAGTAGGAATGAAGGTAAGAAACAAAGACGGTTCAAATAATTGTCTTTTCACTACTCACAGTTATTTAATCTCCCAGTCATGTTTAGTGCTTTTAGAAAGTATATTTATAGGAAAGAAAGAATAATTACAGAATTTTACAAAGTGTTATGAAGTGTTTTTTTTTCTTTAAAGTCTAATAGGTTAAAGCTAGTAAATATGAGAAACTTTGTATTTTTTGTTAATATTACATTATAAATTACATTTAGAGTCCACTTCCCAATGTGATTTTAAAAACAGCATTATTAAAGTATAATTGACTTACAATAAACTGCCCATATTTAAATTAAGGGTACAGCGTAATCACTTGTGACATGCGTACTCTTGTGAAACTGACAGTCCTGGGGATTCCTGCTCCTTCCTCATCCTCCCCTCCCCGCACCCTTCTGCCCCCTCCCTCGCCAGTTTTGATATATTGTGTTTTCATTTTCATTGTGTTCAGAATACTTTCTAATTCCTCTTTTTTCTTTGACCTGTGGGTTATTTAGAAGTGTGTTAGTTTCCTTATATTTGAGGATTTTTCCAGAGATGTTTCTAATCTAATTCCATCCAGTCACAGAACATATTTTGCTCGACTTGACTCCTTTTAAACCCATTGAAACTAGTTTTATGGCCCACAGTATGGTTGGTCCGTCTTGGTAAATACTCAGTGTGTACTTGAAAAGAACATGTGTTTTACTGTCCATTGGGTAGAGCGTTCTTTAAATGTCCATCTTCTCACGGTTACTGATGGCATTGTTGAAGGCTTTCACATCCTTCACTTATTTTTCGGTTACATGTTCTGTCAACTATTCAGAGAGGGTTTTTTGAAATCTCTGACTATATAACTGAGTTTGTTTATTTCGCATTGCAATTCTGTTAGTTTTTGCTTCATGCATTTTGAAATTATTTATTAGATGCATAAATGCATAAAATTGTTCTGTCCTCTTTATAAACTACTCCATCATTATAAAATGGTTGTCTTTTAGCTCTGGTAGTTCCTTTACTCAGAAATCTTTGTGTATTCTAGTCACTAAGGTAGAGCAATTGTAGAGCTTAGCACAGTTGTTTCTTGTCTGTTAGGATTCTTATTCTTTGTTGCCTGATAGCCAGTGTCATGAAAACTATTGTTTCATATATTTTGTATAGATTTCTTTTAGTTGTTTGAGCAGTATAAGCCTGTTTTTCCATCTTGGCCAGAGGAGAAATCCAAAAATAGTTTTCAAATTATTTGTGGTGGTACTTAAGTTTTCCTTCTTGTTTGTATCAGGGATATTTAGAAGAATCTGATGAAAGGTGTGGACCTTAGCTCCTCGTATCTACAAAGGCTTATACATGTAAAATCATGGTTTTAATTTCATGAGGTTTCCAGGCTTGATGATTAATTTATCTGTGTTGATCCTTGCTTTCCAGGAAGCATTTTCAGTCCTAGTTACACATTAGAATCACCTGGGAGAGCTTTGGAACAAATATCTATGCTTCACCAGATCTGTGAAATCTGAATCTTTGATGGTGGGACCCAGACTTTCTTTTTAAAGCTCCCTAAGTAATTCTAATATGCAGCCAAGCTTAAGAACAACTCAATTTTAAAACAAAGGATAGCTTCCTCTTCACTTGGTTTTCCTGCTTCGAGTTACTGGTAAAGATCCTAGGAAGGGTGGAACATAGGGAATCAGTTGCTCCTTAAACTCAACCTGAGTAGAATGGATTACTTGAAAAAGTTTACTTATTCATCCCTCAGATTTTGTCCTGGTAAATTGTATCTGGGCTTTTAACAAAGGTGCATTCAGGTGAAGTTGTGATAGGAAACCTTTTTCAGTTATGTTTTATAATTTTCTTTAAAAAATGTAAAATGTAGGAATATCCCTAGGAAAACAAAAAACAGCTGTATGTCAATTAACATGGACCTCAGAGCCAAAAGCCTATGAGAAATAAGGTTTAAAATAGGAATTTAATAATCTTAAAGCATTGGGTGTTTTCTGTTTTGTGATAGGTTTTATGCTGTGTCAGATGTATATGTGACTTCAAATATCAGTAATTTGTAGTGAAAAATGTACTTCACATTGACTTAACTGAGCCACAGTGCATTTAGCTGTTTTTTAAAATGCCATAAAGCAATAAGCAAGAGAAATTAGCACAGAACACTCTTAATGAGAAAGGTCTGGTGTAACATGGACTCTGTAACTCCAAGATTGATTTCACATTGAGTCACTTTTCAAATATGTCAAATTATGTAAGCATGGTGTAGTCCGTTTGGAACTCCAGCTACTTTTATGAAAGATGATTCTTTGGTATGATTTCCTTAATGAAGAATTTGAACATCATATTTATTTTGTGTATTAGGCTTTTCAGTTTCTGAATCTTCTAATGCTTCTAGAGTTAATGGTGATTTTTTTAAGGGATCAAATGACTTTGTATAAATCTATTCTAAGGTATTTTCTCCCTCATTTATTGTAACCAACCTTTCCCTGTAGCTGTGAACTTCACAGAAGTAAATGAAGAAAACAAAAATGATCTCTTCAGAGAAGTGTTTTCTTCCATTGAAACCTTGGCCTTTACCTTTGGAAATATGTAAGTAGAGGACTGTCATTTAAAGACATTTGGGCCTACGTGTCTCACTGAGAATATGTCTCAATAATTCAGTAGGTACATGAAAAGTGAAGTGTTCCCAAACATGACGTATCATCACAGCTTTGGAAAAGCTATGCTCTGTGTTGCCTCATTGCTGTATTCAGAGGTGTTTATAGCTGTTTAGAAGCAGCATCCATTTGTGAGTGACTGTGTGGTTTATGTGAGTAGATTCCTAGGAGTTTACTTCTAAGGTTCTTACTTTAAAAATTTAATCTAGATGACATGTTGAATGTGAAGCCTGTGACAGAGCAGTGTAGTGACTTATTCTTTTTTTTTTTTTAATTTCTATTTCTTTTTTGTTTTTTTCACTTCCCTGGATAGCTTGACAAACTTTCTCATGGGAGATGTAGGCAGTGATTCATTATTGCGACTGCCTGTTTCTCAGGAGAGTAAGGTAAGCCAAGTTTGTATGAAAGCTAAGACTTTAATGTTTTTAACTTAATATTTAATTAATATACTAATCTTAATTTCAGCATTACTCTTTGATACTGTTTCAGTTTAGTGGGGGAGAAATCAGTTTATTTTAAATATGATAATTTATGGTCAGTTTCTGGACCAAAAATTTAATTGTACTTTTGAAGTGGAACCATCATTTAAAAAGAATATATCTGATAATTTTATAAATTTGTTTCTTTTTTAAGTCTTTTTTGCAGAGACGGTAGGTAATTAGGTTATTTACTTACTTGTTTATTTAATAGAGGTACTAGGAATTGAACCCAGGACCTTGTACATGCTAAGCACACACCATGACTGAACTATACCCTCCCCCATAATGTCTTATGTAATGAATATATGACTTACGGTCCAAAATTTTAGTAAGTAATTCTTACCATTTTTCCTTCAAGAAGAGGGTGTTAATCTTTTCTCACATCCCATAGTTTGTTTGTTACCATGAAATACTTATTAACAGGACTGTAGGTCTAAATTCTCCCTAACAGCATCCTTACATGTATGTCAGAGGATTGGGGTTCTGATTCCCAGTTGGAAGAAAAATTGCTATGAAATAATAGGACATGAGGAATGTGTGTAGAATATTGCTTTAAAGATTTATAGCAGTAGTAGTATTTTCATTTGACTAAAATTTTTCCATCAAATGCAAGGTATTTAAACAAACTGCATTAGGGACATATGTTGATCATTTCCTGTTAAGGATTTCCAAAAAGGATTGGAATTCAAATCCACAAAGATTTCAACAAATATTTGGAAATGTGCCAAATACTTGTTATATCACAATAACATAAAAACTACAGGTCTTTCTTAAATAATATAAAATATAAATGACTACTGAAGACATTTGTTGCATGTACTACAGTATTGAGAAAGAAAGTGTGACTACTTCTGAAGTCATCTATTTGATGACTCAAAGAGGATAGTGCAGAAACCATATCAGAATGATGAAGAATTTTAAGATCTTTAAATATTTTGCTATTTATGATTTTTCTGCTAATTTAGAAGGTATAATAAAACATTATCTGTGTGATAGGGGTCTAAACAATTTAAATTTTAGATGTGAATCATATTTCCTATTCCTGTGCTTCTGTTGTGCACACACATACTAATTCTTAATAGGGTAATACTTTTTCTTTTTTTTTCCTTTTTGCAGCTTTTAATTTGCCATGGATATTAAAATTCAAAAGTCCATGATGTTATAATACTACAATAAAATTACTTTGTTTGGTAAAGAGTTTTGAAAAATATCTTTTGAAATAGTAGTTGCCATTTACTTAATAGTGCTTAATATATAACCATGCACTGTGCTAAACCTACATCATCTCAATCCTTAAAATAGCCTTTTGAAGTAGCATTGTTATCCCAGTTTTACAGAAGGGCAAACCACATTTAAGTGAGTCTGAATATGTAGCCCAGTGTCATACAGCTACTAACCGATAGAGCTTGACTTCAAACACAGGTTTCATTGATCCCTTTTGTAGTGAATCCCTGCCTACTCCGTATTGCCCAGCTAAATACAAGCTCCCACAACCTTGGTAGGTGACCTTTTTCTGCACTTTCCAGTAAGGTAGCCGCTTGTCACATGTAGCTCATTAAATTAAAAATTTACTTCTCATTTACATTGGTCACTTTTCAAATGCTCATATGGCTACTTGGAGCTAGTAGCTACCTTACTGGACAGTGTAGATATAGAACATTTCGGTCATCATAGAAAGTTCTGCACTAAGATGTCCAGTGGACTTTCAGAGAAATGCTTACCATGTAATAAAATGGTAATGGATGGCTGGAAGAGACAGGTCTTTGTCTTCTATTTAGATTGCTTCTATAACTTGCTGACTAATATTTTTGAGATCTGCACAATTTAAAGTTTTGAATGGTTTCATCAGCGTTAACTAATGCTGTTCATAAACAATGAAGTTATTCATTCTTGGACCTTGAGAAATGCTGTTGTAAAAAGCTATCTAGTTCTTATTAAACGTTCCAGCATTTAAACAGGCTTCTCAGGCCCTTGAGTTCTAAATACTTGAAATTCTTTAGTAGGAATTGTGTTAGAGTAACAAATTAGTGTGAAAAATTTCTGAAGCAGAGATTGTTATCTTCTGCTCTAATCTTAAATTTGTTTTCTTCCATGTTTTAAGTCTTTTGAAAATGTTTCTGTGGAATCAGTGGACTCATCTAATGAAAAAGGTAATGCTTGAGGTACTTAATACTTCAGTCAAACTTTTTGCAGTTACTTTTGATCAGTGTTTTGAATTAATCTCTCCTTGCTTAGTAATCTAAAGTATTCATTTTTAACATAAAACAAATGATATGTAAAGTTTTACATATAACACTTAAGGGAAAAAACTTGCTAGAGTAGATAGTGTGATGATAAAGACTGATCAGGAATTATATAGGATTTGTAACTTGATGAATAATAGAAATACACATTAAGATTTAAAAATATAATTTGAAACCATTTTCTTTAAACTGTGACCCTTTAATTCTGAATTTATCATTTATATTTTTAACCAGTTTTCATTAAAGAACAGTTTAGTATTTGAATGCTTCTTTGTTTAGAGCTCATATTTAATATATACTTACCTTGACATTTTTATTTTCAGGAAGTTTTTCTCCTATAGACTTAGACAGCATGCTGTTAAAGAACACTGACTCTGTAGAACTGGCGTTGTCATATGCCAAAACATGGTCAAAATATACCAAAAACATAGTTTCATGGGTTGAAAAGAAGCTGAACTTGGGTGAGTTGCCCTTTAGGACATCTGATTAACTTGGGAATGTAAGAACTAAATTATTTGTGATTCATTTTTTGCAGACTATAAATAATAATGATTGTAAATTAGTAGCTCTTTCATTGTAGTGAATAAAATTATTGTTCATTTTCTCTTTTCAAAATAGGAAAGACTCTACTTACAATAAATATACTTATTGAATATTACTGTGGACCAACCACTAGATCTAGGGACACACAGTCATGTAGTTCACTGTCTTTACCTTTAAAGAAGTCATACTCTAGTGGGTAAAAATAAGTGCAATCAAATAATATGGTTAAAGGAGATAAAAGTAACAGTAGATTTCTGATCAGAAGGCAGTGGAAACATATAAGGAACATCTTAATAGCTAGTATTTTCCCAGTTTTTTATGGTTGACAAAAATGCTTGCAAATCCTTTATCTCATTTAATCCTTACCAAAACCCTGGGAAGTAGGCAAGACAAGCTCATGATCCCCATTTTATAGCAGAGGCAAATAAGACAGGGGATTTGCCTAAGATCATGTAGCAGTAACCAGAAGAATATAGAATTTACCCAAAGTGTATGCTCTTTCTCCTACATTATTTGCTTTTAATAGGGAATGTCGATCAGAATCACCTGAATATCCTTAGAAAAGGATAATACACAGGCCTAGGTCCCTTGCCTCAGGGAGGTGAGGTCTAAGCAAGTGTATCTTTTTTTTAATTGAAGTATAGTTGATCTACAGTGTTGTGTTAGTTTCTGGTGTACAGCATAGTGATTCAGTTATACATATATATATTCTTTTTCATTGTACATTATTACAAGACATTGAATATAGTTCCCTGTGCTATACAGTAGGACTTTGTTGTTTATCTCTTTTATATACAGTTGTTTGTATCTGCTAATCCCAAACTCCTAATTTATTCTTCCCCTCATTCCCTGTTGGTAACCATAAATTTGTTTTTTCTGTTAATGTGTCTGTTTCTGTTTTATAAATAAGTTCCTTTGTATTAGATTTCACATGTAAGTGATATCATGATATTTGTCTTTTTCTATCTCACTTAATACGATAATCTCTAGGTCCATCCCATGTTGCTGCAAATGGCATTATTTCATTCTTCTTTATGGCTGAGTAGTATACCATTGTGTGTGTCTGTATGTGTATATACATACATATATATATATATATACATACCACATTTTATTTATCCAGTCATCTGTTGATGGATATTTAGGTTGCTTCCATGTCTTGGCTATTGTAAATAGTGCTGCTGTGAACATAGGGGTGCATGTGTCTTCGAATTAGAGTTTTCTCCAGATGTATGCCCAGGAGTGGAGTTGCTAGATCATATGGTAACTCTATTTTTAGTTTTTTAAGGACTCTCCATACTGTTCTCTACAGTGGCTGCACCAAACTACATTCCTACCAACAGTGTAGGATGATTCCCTTTTTATCCAGCATTTATCATTTGTGTACTTTTTAACGATGGCCATTCTGACTGATGTGAGTGATAGCTTACTGTAGTTTTGATTTAAACGAGTGTTTTGAAACTTTCCCAGTGGATTTTGATGAGTACTTCAGGTTAAGAATCGTAGCTTCATACCAAGATGCAGACTGGTATTTGTGATCACTTTTTAATTGGGGAATTACAAATAATTTTAGAGTGTGAAGGTGAAAAAGAAGTTGAATTTACCATCTGATGCCTTACTTGACCTTTTCAGAATTGGAGTCCACTAGAAATATTGTCAAGCTGGCAGAGGCAACTAGAACTAACATTGGACTACAGGTAGGTGGTCAGTGAACTACGAGGGCTCTGTGCCAAGAGATTACTCAGATGAGCTCCTGATAATGCCTTGCAAAATCAAAAAAGTTTGTAGTAAATAAAGGAAAGAACTTAAATGCTAGCCTTTTTATTGACAAAATAAAATCTTTTTAAACTTACATTGATACCTATTATGAAGAAACTAGGAAATTTACAGTTTATCTTAGTAGCTAGTAATTTTGCTAACTAGTTTTAAAATGACTTGTAGTTAATATTCTTCAGTATTTTTCTCATGTGGTTATATTTATGAATAGTTATTTTTCTGGAAAAAAAAGTCTAAACTTAAAATTTTCTCTTTTTGAAGACGGGTAGTGAGGGTGCATCTAGAACTCTAGTGCCATTTCTGTTGGAAAATTGACTTTTCAATTTTAAATTCTAGGAGTTTATGCCACTGCAGTCTTTATTTACCAATGCTCTTCTTAATGATATTGAGAGCAGTCACCTTTTACAACAAACAATTGCAGCTCTCCAAGCCAACAAATTTGTGCAGGTAAAAATTTATATATACAATATACTTTTTTTTTTTCAAACAGTATGTCTTTAGAAAACAGCTTTTTTTCTCTCTTTATTTTTTAAAAAATACCCTTGGCAGCCTCTACTTGGGAGAAAAAATGAAATGGAGAAACAAAGGAAAGAAATAAAAGAACTTTGGAAACAGGAGCAAAATAAAATGGTTAGTATTGTAATAGAATTTCATCTCTTTGTGAACATCTGAAGTCATCTGCAGTCTGTAAGTATCTACCCTGGGAAGAGGCGTACCTTACTCTGTCTCTATAGTTTTTCTAAAATGCAATCTTAATTATCTTGCTGAGTATGCTACAGAAACTTGTACAGTAGGATTCTTTTCTCATTCTATATTTAATACTTTTTTTCTGTGTAGCTTGAAACAGAAACTGCTCTTAAAAAGGCAAAATTGTTGTGCATCCAACGTCAAGATGAATATGAAAAAGCAAAATCTTCCATGTTTCGTGCAGAAGAGGAGCATCTGTGCTCAACTGGTGGATTGGTGAAAAATCTCAACAAACAGCTAGAAAAAAAGCGAAGGCTGGAAGAGGAAGCTCTTCAGAAAGTAATCATCTTGTATTTTATTTGCGAGTTGAATTAGCAGTAATCAGCTAAAGCTTTGGTTCTCAAATTTTAACATGCATTAGAACCACTGGAAGAGTTGTGGAAACAGACTGCTGGGCCCCGTCTCCACAGTTCTGATTCAGTAGATCTAGGGTTGGTACCAGACAACCTGCATTTCTAACAAGTGCTCAGGTGCTGCTGTGGACCCACACTTTGAGAACCACCATGCTAAGAGATTTTTGCTTGTCTTTTGAATTTTGGGGTTTGTTTGTGAAAGAAGTATCTTAAAGAAGGCAGTAGTTTAACATTTTTTACTTAATTGTTCAGAAATTTCACCATGTAGGCAACTGTGTATATATGTTCTCAGTCCCAGTACCTGATAGCAAGACTAGGCTGAAGCTTTTATTATTTATGAAATTTAATGTGATGAATTCCATAAGAAGACGATATAGAAAAAGGTAATATAAATAGAAAAGGCTGTTAAATAGAAGGGACATTTATTTATAGGCAAACAATATATTAAGTGTAAATCATACTTGACTATCCATGAAACTGACCAAAACGGACTATTTATCTTTAGAAATATTCTATTTAATAGGACATTTCAGAACTTTCATGCATAAAGCCTTTTCAGTTGTTTAAATTGAGCTTTACTAGAAAACAATATTTTTTTAAATATAGATTCAGTGAACCAGTGTTATTTTTTCCTCTGGTATTCCTGAAGGTAGAAGAAGCAAATGAACTCTACAAAGTTTGTATGACAAATGTTGAAGAAAGACGAAATGATCTGGAAAATACCAAAAGAGAAATTTTAACACAACTCCGGAAACTTGTTTTCCAGTGTGATCTTACCCTTAAAGCTGTAAGTAATTTCTTGAGTATTTTGAAGAGGGAAAAAAAAGAGTCTGTGTATCTGCAGAAGGGAGAGGAATGTTTTATGAGTCATGATTCTTACGAGATTTAATTTCTGAGATTAACAGAATGTTTAGACTTTGAAAGTTGACTTTCAGTTTTTAATGGTGGTATATGTGGTTTGAGTTTCATTTTTCATCTGGTTCTCCACCCCATGGATTGATGATTTATTCTATTAAAATTGAAGTCTAAGAGTTTGAAATTGCCTCTACACCACTGTCTTTCTTGCCTTGGTTGGCACAATGGATTTGACCCCCGAAACTTCTATCAGCAGCATGAGATCTAGTCTTCAGAATTTGAGTAAACTAAATATTGAAATTGAACCCAATGATTTATTTGAAGACTGTTTCATTTGCCTCTTTAAAATGGCTTTTATAAAAAATTTATGTGCAGACTACAGTCAGCCCTTTGTATCCACAGGTTCTGCATCAGTGGATTCAACCAACCATGGATCGAGAGTATTTAGGGGGGAAAAATGTCCAGAAAGTTCCAAAGAGCAAAACTTAAATTTGCTCTTCACTGGCAACTATTTACATAGC